ATTTGTCAAAATTTTACCGTTTTGATCAAATTGCTTTGATGTGATATTATATGTTCTTACATATGTGATCAATTACTGAATTATAGTCTAAATCTTTTCTAATGTGAATATATGCAAATTTCTATAGAGTGCCTATAAATATATCGACCCGCATATAATTATTTAAAGAATATTTGGATCTTTAAAATTTGAATTTATATTCTTTCAGTAAAGAGAAATATTTATTTTCAAAATTTTTGAAAAATTTGTATTTATTCAAGAAATTTAAACTTTGCATATTTAAAGGATTTGATTCTGCGGTGTACAATCTCGACACAAGTTTATTGATTTTGTACATGTATCTTTTTAATTAAATTATAATAATTTACGAGAAATGTACATATATTTTTTGAAGTATAAAATGTAAAAAACTAAGAACGCTTTATACAAGAGAAATATTTATTATGAAACACTGTTATGAAACACTTATAAAAAAAAATAACTGCAGAAATAAAAGATTGAATATATCGCATTACTCGAGATTATTTCACGAGTGATGCGATAGGGTAGAGAGTTGACAGCGTTTTTACTGCATCTTTGCGTAATTCATTCTCCGGAGATTGGCGCGCATGCATCAATTTAGTATCACGTTGGTCCAGGTCTAAACGTTCGTCCGAACCGATCGAACTTTTCAAACGTTATCGGTATGTCGCAAAATATAGCGGCCATTCAAAAGGACACTCGAAGATATCGGCGGTATGAAACGCGGTGTGTATGTATAGTCTACGTGCGAATATAAAACTGGATCCGTGAAAGCAAACAAAAACAACAGCGCGTGTGAAACGGTGCGCGGGCACGCGTGAAATAATAAATTCGACCCAATTGTTTTCCCGTATCAATAAATATACTATCTGCGGATACGGCGCTTTTTTTCGCCCCGTTTGCGCCCGTCGCAGTCCGGGGCAAAGCGCGAAATGAATTGCACGCCGGGCCCGGTGTGATATCTCTGTGACCTCTGATGGCGCGGGCGTAGAGCGAAGCTGGCGCGGGATTGCTTTTTGCTCGATGGCCGATGACCGCTTAATTCTTTGGAAGAATTCGCTTCGTCCCGCCGTACGCTATTTGACGATTCTGTTCCGCTGTGATTTGCTGCGTCGTCAGAGCGCACCCTCATTTCGATCTTCCCTTTGTTGAATCACGCAACATTATTGCGAAAATACCATTGCTTTGATCTTACTTAATTGAAAACGTGCTGCTGCTATATGACATCAGTTTTATTTTTATGTGCAATTATATTGGGATTTTCCACTTAAACGAAGATTTACGCCAAACTGTCATTTCTTTAAAAATAATTACAATTTTGACTGTATATTGAAATATTATATATGTAAATTACAATGTACAATTAAATAATAAGTAAAAAAATTTACTAAAGCAGATGAGAATAAAAAATTAACACTACTTTTTTTTAAATTTTTATTTATAAAAATCAGAATTGGAACTATTAATCTTAATGTTTAAATAAAGAAAAATATAGAGTCTACACACATTTGGAACATAAAATAATACAATTATATATATATACTTTAAAATTATATGTTATCCCATAAAAATGAGAAAAAATACTCAGATATTTTAATGATTGTTTGTGTACCCGAAATAATCAGCGCAATCGAATGCTATGGATAATTATAGGTTTACTTGTTAATTATTAAAAGAGACTTGTTATTACTTTTCGTCAGCAGATAAACAGCTACATTTGCGTTTCGTCTATGTAGCTTTGTGTTTCGAATTTCTACTGTTATGCAATCGCAGCTCTCGTCTATCTTCTCCGCCCCGTCGTTAGTACACGGAAGTACTATTCACGTCGGTACTTTTTCGCGTTCGCGGAAACTTCGTCCTGGAACCTCTTTGCCTTCCGAACACGTCTTTCGTAACTCACCAGAGGGACGCGACGTCGGTCTCTGAGAGAGGACTATTCACGAAGGTAGCCTCTTTCGTGACCAAGAAAGAACTCGGTCCGCGTAAGCCGTGGGAAACCATTCCAGACCAGCCGTCTTTCCGGTACAAACTGCATGTGCACCGGCCATATTCCGGTCTCTATTCCGTTTCGAAAGCAACTCGATAATGAAATTTTTCGCATTGTTGTCGCGGAAAATGTATCAGGACTGGTGCTGGTCCCGCTTTATCCTCGTGCGGTAAAGATTATTTTTGCGAAAAAAGAGTGGGTCGATCATCGCGAAGTGCTGGCGATGACGTAAACATTGTTCTATATTCTATACACTGTATTGAGAAAGATCAGTCCCGTGTGTATGCGCGAGTAATCTTTGTGTTGCTAACACTAAGGTAAAAATGTTTACAAGCTACGTCAAAAAAGAGATCCCTTCCCGCATAAAGTGGTATAAAAAGATAAAAATACAGAGAAGAATTTGCTGATACAATATTTTTTTTTAGTGAGATATACCTTATAGTTTGTTATAGAGCGTATAACAATAAAAGTAAATAATTTATTATATTAAACGAATTTTATCTACGTTTATGAAAAATTCTCTTTTCTGCGTAGGAAATAATATATTTTTATGACAATTATAAATTAGCTTGTTTTAATTGAAAAAAAATTATTTTTTTATTAAAATAAGTTCTTTCACGAATAATTAAAGACTTGCAATCTTAATAATTATTTTTTATTATTAATATAAATATAAACACTAATAGTACCTACATGTTTGTTACAAATATGTATGATACGTTATAAGAGAATTAAGTTTTATATATACACGTTTAAATAAAGCTTAAAATAAAGTTTAAATTTTCAACGAATTTATGTCAATATTTCAACGAAATAGTAAAAATAATTTATTTTTCTCCAAAACTTTTTATGACATGTTTTTTTATAGTTTGAAAAAGATATTATTATTCAGAGTACAGTATTTTACAATTAGATGTTTACGGTATTTCAATAATTTATATTGTCATTTTGTCATCTTGTCTATCTTGTCATCTTGTCCATTTTGTTATTTTTGTCTATTTTACTTCTATTTCTATAACCATCTCTTCTATATTTCAGAGATAATAATTGATTTAACTTTTGAAAATTAGCGCGCAAATAAATTTGTCCTATAGGAGCAATGATCTTCCTTAAATTTTGATGTAAAAGTACAAGAAGAACTATATTTCTTCGGAACATTATTTTATGGAAGAATGCATATTATAAAACTTATATTATCAAAAATATAAAATTATAACAAATAATAATTAGATAATAAATAATAATTAGTAATAATATAATTAATAATAGAATAGAGATTAATATAATCCGGGGAAAATAATTCTTACATTAGTGATAATTTCTGCAATTAATTACGAAAAAATATAATTAAAATAATATTTTTCCACATAAAAGCGATTTTTCTTTAAAAATTTATTTGGCATAATAGAAAAATTTTATATTTTGATTTAATATCTATACACTTTTTGGATAAATATAAATAAAAATTTTAAAATAAATAGTATATACAATAATCTGATCAATAGTTTTATATAAATACAAAAAATCTAACCACAAGAGAGAGAAGATTTTTCTGAATTTTTGTTCCTATTGAGGCGAACAGTTTCTCTAGAATATTTTCTGCGTTTGTCAAAGCAAAAGAGAAAATTGAACGGTCCCATTCTCATCTGTTTTATCCTTTATATATTTTTCTACGTTCTATATTATCATATCTTTTAAAATGTTTATGTGTATGTAAATCGGTAAATAATTAATTTATATATTTTAAGACATGTTGAACCAGTTAACTTGGTGAACCAGTTGAAATAGAAATTATCGGTATATATTAAAATACGACAAAGAGGAATAGTTTTGATATTTTAGTTGATTTATTTACTTAGATTAGAGGAATAAGCATAGTTTCTCTAAACTATCAATTATATCTCCTAAACATACAGCAATCCGCCATATATATCCGACCATTATTTACTAACTCGGATAAAGTTATGCGATGGATTTACTTTGTATGATATATTGCTTGCTTATGCAGTTCGAGTAATTTGAATAATTTACTTACGTTCTCTTAGTTCAGATTCTCTGTTCAGATCATTTATATATTATATACAAAGATGTTACAAAATTTAGAATTATAAAATTTTCTCCGTAGCAATTAGATTTTTCAGATTGTCATATATATCAGCATGATATAGCAGATGTATGTAAATCTGATAAATTGTATGTTTAAATTATAAGATTACATAATTTTTTATTTAATTTACAGCTCTTTAAATTATATATATATATATATATATATATATATATAACAGACAATTATATAATATATATACAATTATCTCGTGTTGAAACACAGTACATTTCTAAAATTGGCTCGTATAAATTTTACTAAAGTTTTATTGAGCAGAACTTGTGGTCTCGCGTTCAAAGACTAATATATGTGTGAATCGTAAAAAAATATATTCACTACTCTAACATTGTGCACCCTTTCACAACATCCTACAGAGTTTCCAGTTGCGATTCACAATAAAGCAACGTGAGTTACGATTCGTTAAGTTACACGCGCCGAAATCGGTGAAAAGCTTCTTCATGGGATAAAAAGATTTTATGGAATAAAAGGGTAGCTCACGTACAAAAAGCGAAGGCTGGCACAAGAAGAGGCGTTAGAGAAAGAAGGATGTTGGACCTAGATCGGGATGCTGCGAAGGTTCGAGCGAATTCGAGCTCGACGATACGAAAACGCGGGCACTGACGGGACGGAATCGAGATTTTACGAGCGAATTCGCCGTATACACGCGAAGCGAATGGGGCGCAAAGCCTCACGAAGGTTCGCGCGCGTGCTCTCGCGGTACGTTGTGCACGTAGAATATTGCGACACGGTCAGAGGGTGACAGAGCATGATCGGCCAGCGAGAGATAGCCATCTATCTGGCCGTAACTGGGCGCAATGTTCTCCATGTGTTGGCACGCATACACGCAATCTCCGGGACGTTCTCGTCGCAATGTGGTCATTGTTTCAGTGCCACCGGATATCCTGGACTACCCCACCAGCACGGACATGGTGGTACGGGAGGGCAGCAACGTGACGTTACGATGCGCGGCGACAGGAACACCGGAGCCGACGGTCACGTGGCGTCGTGAGACGGGCGGCGCGATCAGCTTGTCAAACTGGCAAGGTACGTGTATCTTTGCACTATTGCTGCATCACTATCGCTTCGGACGTGAATTGGTTATATTCCGTCGCGCCGGTTTGCCATTCCGGATCGAATCGCCGCGTCGCGCCGGTTCCGTTTTCCTTTCGCCTCGGTCTCTGCAACCCCTTTCAATCCTATTTCGTTGTCTCGTGTCTCTTCGCATCGCGTATATATTGAACGTAATCCGTTCGCGAAACGTTTGTGCTGCGAGGCTTTCCCTTGCTCGCGCTAAAAGAGAACGACGGAAAGTCGTCTCGTTTTGTGTTGATTGAATGGAACGTTTATTGTAAGTCCGCTCGGATCGTTGAGTGCGTTTTGATGAATGTGAATCGATACGAAAGAGTTTTTGTTGTTGAATTTATTGTAGGTTTATCGCAATGGATGAGAGCAAACTTGCTTATTGATTAGAATTGATCCAATGTGGAAGTTAAGTTAATTAAAGTATAAAATGTCCTTGTTTCTAAAATAATATGATAAAGAAAGAAATCTTAAATAACGAGAAATTATATTAACAATATCGGATTATGCCATCCAAATAGTACAGAAAATCTTCAATTCATCAATAATTTTTTATCAACTTACAAATCACTACGTATATTATATTTCTTTATAATTATAAAGTTTTTAATTCTATTGACATTTTTTTATTGCTTCGACAATATAACATTCAACAATAATTTACTCTTTCACTATTCTTCCACTTTCTACCATCTCTCACAACTGGCGAGAAAATTTAACGATTCGTTACACAAAATCATTTCTTTCTTGATGTTATTATCAGCAAACTGCCGCCGGCGCAATGTCTATCGAAATAAAATTGCCAAGCATTTATAATATAAACTCATTTACTTAACCCATTCGACAAGAAATTAATTTTGTTTACAATTTTAAACAAATTTCTGTTGTTATGCCATCTTTAAGTAAAATCTAATAATCAACATATAATTTAATTTCTCAGTTGTTTGTAAATAGAATGCTATACAAGCGCGTTTGTGATAGAATATTTTAACTTTCTATTAATGACAATTCTACAAAACATAATGATTGCTGGTACTAAAAGTTAAACTATTATTATATCAACTAATTTATAACAATGTTCAAGCTTGTATGTAAACAAACATAATGATAACTTACTAAATATTACGAGGCCATGTGAAATGAGCAATGAAAATTATTTTGAACTTGGAAAAATTTTAATTAAAAAAACTAATTACAATATAAACTCTAATATTCTTAATTACAATCAACATTTCGAACTATACTTAGTCTTCCTCAGTGCGCAATAAAAAAATAATAAAAAATATTCTAATAAAGAGTCGCAATACAATAGTCAAAATAAATTAGATAATTATGTCAAAATTAAAAGGCGAAATACGTTAACAATAAATTGAAATAATTACAAATAGTTCAACGCAAAAAGTCCCAATTAGAAGCAAAAATCGAATTAAAATAATTTATCCGGCTAATCAATAATTTTTTTAATTATTAAAACCTCGGAGTGGCACTTAAACATTCGTCCAAACCAATCACTCATCGTTAGTCGGCGAAAGGCTATTAGTTTGGCAATGACCGTGTCCATCTCCTCTACGTTATTTAATATTTGTTATTATAAACTGAATTAAAAAAGAAATTTTATATTATAAAATAGAAATCCACTTATGTATATGTAAAAATTAAAATATTTACATACAATATTTACATCGTAATATTTAGTAAGTTATCATTGTGTAAACTATTATTATATACATTTTTATATAATTTATAACTAGCGTAGCTAACATTTTTTCCAAAAGATTATAACATATATATATATAAATTTATTACAAAATAGTTTCAATTAATTCTTTAATTTTACGTAAAACTGAAATTGAGAGACACAATTTTATTTAATTTAAAAGCATCTTTTACAAATTCTCTCAAGATTTCTATTGTCACAATCCAATCACTCACACGCTTTTGGTTCCCGGCTTTATTCAATAGTATCTTTCTTGTTTTCCGCTTTGTGTCAGGATTGTTCAGATCTTTCGCTGACTAATTGCACAAGCAAGTGCCACGGGCACTCTTGATTGTAGTCTGCATTAAGTAGGGTAGCTGAAGCGTCGCTTTAATCCCTTTCTTTTTCGGCGCTACAGATTCTCTTCTCTCATCCTTCCATACTTTTTCTCCTTTATTTTATTTCTGTTCGCCGAGTATGTTACTGAGTTATGTACTTCGGAAACACTGACGCGACGGACCAATGTGCAGCACAGTTGTATTTTTCGTCCTTTCGTGTCAAGAAGTGCAAAGAAACATCTCGCGGTAAGACGTTCGTCGTGCGATCGTGTTTCCATCCTTCTATGCTTTATTCACTGGATGAACTTTTTTATTTTCCAGGACCGATTTTAAGGAATCGCTTTAAGCATTTTGTCACGTTCCGTTGTTCCTTTATTTGTCTCTTCATTCGTCTCGCGTTCGTTTTGCGGGAAGGTTCAGTCGCGATTCCATTAGACGATAAGTACCGGAAAATAGAGTATTCCATCGTACAGCTGTGCGCCATCGCTCTTACGATTTTCTCACTGAGTCCACCGCACTTCGTTTGACTCCCAATAATAGTTGAAGAGACGAAAAGAGGTTCTTTTATCCTTTTATTCTTATACGATAATCCATACTAAGCGAGTCTGCTTTCTGAAGACGATAAAAATTTGATGTGCGAATTTACCTTAAAGATCTCAACAGGTGCGCGCGAGGGAAAACGCTTTTCAAGATATCGTGCAGACGTTGTTATGCATAAATTTCATAGTATATATTCAAATGCTACAAAGAATATGAGGGATAATATATAGTGTTAAATAAATAGGACAACGCGATGCTTTTAGAAAATTAATGGCTACTATAAATTTATTAAAATAAAATACACATATTCTACGCACATCTATTAATTTTATTAAACATTTTTTTATATAAAACATTTTTCCTACCATATATTGTGCACTCACATTTATATTTATTTTATAAATATTTTATATTGAAAATAAAGTGTTCAAATATATATTTGTACAAATTATTTTTAATATTATATATAATTATAATACTTAAAAACTTTTTTACATTGTGTATAGTAAGTTATGGAGCATTATTTTTTTTTACATATAATATATACATATATATATATATATATATATATATATATATATATATATATATATGTACGTGTACTATGTGTACATCAATAGGCCGCTCTGGTCTATAAAAGAATAGATATGTAAATTATATGGTAATCAATCTGTGGAAATAAATTTTGCTAGTTTGTCAATTTAACTTTATTACGCACTCGCGATGTGGAACTAATTGCGATTTCAATATACAAATCGATTAGCACGTTTAATTATATAATATCGAAATTAAGGAAATACACATTTTAATTAAACTTGAAATCAATTGTTTCATAATATTAAGCTAGTCGACCGTATTGCAGCATATAAAACAGAAATTATTGGAAAACATCAGAGAATAAATATTAATTTACAACACATGAAATTACAACTGTGACATACATATAATGAGTACTACTTTGTTCACTCTCATGTATTAATATTTATATTACATTCCATTTAATACAATTTACAATCTAATACAATTATGTTATTTAATGGAATTAATGCTTTATTTTTTCACTGTTAATATTGCGAAATGTTTTAATTGTTTTATTGTATTTTAGTATATGGTGGAAACGTAGATGGAAAAGTATATTTAATGTGTTTTATCTAAATTGCATATTTGAAAAATTCTCTATATGCAGAATGTTGCAGGGAATTTTACATTTTTGCCACTTACATATCACGTAATTAAAGTGCATGCTCTGATTGATACACATTTATTAAGCATACGTTATATTTGATATGTCAAGAAAATGAGAAGAAAACCTATAAATATTAAAATATTTTGTGTAAATATCATTAAATATTATGTTCGTAAATAAAATTATTAAAAATGTAATATAAGTATTTTATATGAGAAAAACAGATTTTATTTAATTATTATTATAATATTTGCTAAAAAGTAATAATTTAAAGCATTCAATAAATTTAATTGGTAATATTAAATTGGTAGAGTTACATTTCTGAGACTTTAAGAAAAACATTTGATAGAAAATTTTAAATTACGAAAAAGAATGTGTGATAAATGTCTTTACGAATTCGGGATACTTCGTAAAAATTAACGTGACATTAATACGTACAATTGCGTTAGAATTGTCAGATGTGTTTCTGAGCGATGAATGTAGCGACGTACATAACTTACACGCCGTAATTCACGTTTATATGAATTTATATGTCTGCATCTCTGTATAAACTGTTGCAGCGACGAGTTTCGAAGGTCCAGAGCTGGAAATAACACGCATCACGCGTCTCCATATGGGACCTTATCTCTGTATAGCATCCAACGGAGTGCCACCAACAGTCAGCAAGCGAATCCTTGTCACTGTTCACTGTACGTAATTTTGCTGCGTGATCCTAGATCTCGTTTTATTATCAAGAACCACGCTTCCATTGAAACAAAGTGGAAATACGCATAAATGACTTTTTTATTGCAATCGAGAGAAGTATTAAATGCATTTTTGTTTTATTAGGTGTTAAAAATATTATATACGCACAATTCAGATTTACAATTTTAAAATTATACATTAATTTCATTTTTAAAAATAAAAATTACAAGATAACTAAAATAATAAAATGTATCGCATTATATTATTTTAATTTCTGCGAGATAAGTATTAAATGCATTTGTTGTTTCATTAGGTGTTAAAAATATTATACACGCACAATTCAATTTTACAATTTAAAAATTATATATTAATTTTATTTTAAAAATAAAAATTACAAGATGACAATAAAATGTATCACATTATATTATTTTAATTTCTGCTTTGATACCAAACTGTTTCAGTACTATTGAAAAAATTTGGCATTATTCATGTTATATCTTCTATGTACTTGCACATGAATGATTTTATGCAATTCTGTATTTTGTCCTAGAAATTCTTTCTTATACGTTGCGCTTGCCACAAAATATAATTTAAATTGTCGTTCTCGCGCGTGCTGTAAGCGATCTCGCGTAATGACGCCTCTCGGAGTGGGCATGGTGAATAGCTGATCCCGAGGGCCATTGTTCCTGAAAACGGAGTTAAATCTTTCCCGCCGTTGGCTACGTAATTTTGCTATGCGATGTCACGAGCCGGGGACAAGTGACGTTTCTGGATTGATTAAAAAATAAGAGAAACCTATTCCGTAGAAAAATAATTTTAAAATGAGCACCTCCTTAAGACTGCGTCAAATGTCAAATACTTTGATGATGAGTTGACAATCTCGATGGACATTTCATTAAATTTATTTTTTTGTTATGTAAAATTTTTCAGCGTTACGTACATCTATGCCGCAAATGTTGTTATAGCAAAATTAATAATTTATTAATATAAAATTGGTGACGTATTATTTATTTTCTATTTTGATGCAATAAAAGAATTTGATAATAAAAAATACATGTATACATTTGCATAAAGTACACCATAATAGACATTAATTATTAACAGTATAATATTTGCATTTTAACGCAAATTTTATTAAACCATATTATTTATTATAGTTCAGCCTATGGTTTGGATCGAAAATCAACTAGTGGGTGCTTACGAAGGGCAAAGCCTCACCTTGGAATGTCACAGCGAAGCTCATCCAGAGCCTATCACTTATTGGACGAGGGCAACAAATGAGACTATCGCCAACGGTGAGAGCAAACATTTCTATTACTTATCATAAAAAATATTATTCAATTTTATCAATAATAAATGATAAATTAGGAAATACATAAAAACATATTGATTTTAATATAATTTCTTGGAAAACTTTAAATTTAAAAATTTGACAATTGTATTTTTATATTATTCACATTTTAAGCAAAATATATTTATGGTTATTTAAATTACTATTATTGTGTTTCCATATTAATTTTTTGAGGACAAACAGAGCAAGTTTGTAGCTGATAAATTTGTGATTGTTAAGATAATGTTCCATGTTATGTTGAAAAATATTTGCATGAATATAAAATTCGCCATCTGGAAAAGGTGGAAAAATGAGTTTCACTGAAACCGAGAGCTCGTTTCATTCCAATTTGAGATAATTATTATAAGTTCCTTTCTTTTCTTTTCGCGTGCCCACACCGGGAGGTGCACGCACGAGCAGTTGTAATGCGATTCGCCTTAATTACACCGCGCTAACGCGGCTGTTTCACTCTAATTGCTACCATGCATCTTTGCGATATGTCAAGGGGTTAAGGGCAAGGGCACAATGGCATTAAAACTTAAGACGTGCGCATACCATCTCGTGTCGGCTCGCTAATCCGTGACAGCACCCTCCCTATATGTACACGCGGTAGGCTGAAATTTTTCTGCAAAGTGCTGTAATGAAAAGGTACATTCGAATTAATTAAAAGTACACGGACTGTTTAGCAGTTTCCATAATCCCGGTTTTCATTTGCTATCGCAAGTTTGATTTAGTCAATTAACGTTTGGTAGAAATTTTCGTGCAACTGGAGAATAAAATTACGGAGAGAATCAACGAAGAATAAAATTACTGTTATAATTATTATCGATTAATTTACAGACGCAAAAGAGTCTCTCTTCATTATATGATTGACGTAAATGCGGATATTTTTAAATGCAATAATCTACGAAATGTCATATATGTATATATATTATATAGTATATGTGCATGTGTTTTATGTTTCTTTGCTTTACTTATCTAACAGAAAGAAAAAATCTTGAGAAGTTTTATGTGACATTAAGCATTCATATGCATGTGCATATCGATAGAAATCATTTTGCTAATTAACTATTAACTTTGATACTAACTGCTATTGTGTCGTATATCATTTTATTATTATTCAGTATAATTTTTATCAGAGAGGTATTCAAATAAAGATAAATAAGGAGATTTTAAAAGAGAGAGAGAGAATATGCAAAATATTAAGCTATATTATGCAAAATGATGCTACAAATTATTTTTATGAATAAATCAATAATTTTTGTATTTAATATTTAAATTCAATATTATTATTATAATATGCAATTTATTATAGATTATTTATTATGAGCGAGTAATAAATCAATTAAAATATTCAATCAATAACATAATTTTATTCTTTCGATTTTAGGACATGAATTCATGTATCCAATTTTGTTATTGAAAGTAAACTGATAAGATGTGTGTATGATGAAACTTGTTTTTCGATTGTACCATGTTTACGCTTTTAAATAAAGTGTAAAATTACATATATTTTTTTATATAAGCTGCGATACAATAAATAAGTTTTTATAGAAATATTATTACGGACAAGGTGATATTGTATATATGTACATGCACACTTGCATCAATAAGATTAGTAAATTTTCTTTAAAGTAACATTTCCGCGCTGACAGGGTCACCGTTTCTAAACTAATGATATAAAAATCGATATTTGTGCCGTTTCCTATACGCCGGAACGAAAATGACATTTGCACGAATAACATGGTCCGCTTCATGCACACTTTGCACAGTTCTATAATACTTAAGCTGCTTGGAACATAAATACGAAGTTTACTATTGCTCGCATCGATCAAGAATTTTCTGTTATTCCGGGCTACCGTGAAAGCTTGTCTAGTTAGTGCTATTCCATTCGCGGCAACGAAACGGATTAGCTTTTTAACGAGGGACAAGTGCAATTACATCAACGCGAAAAAGCCGATTTTGCGCGTCATGCGCTTCCGGTTAACAAACTCTCTCGAATTATTGACTTCGATTAAAGAACTAGTATATGATTATAATCTACGTGTTTATGTGCAATTTATTTTTGTTTTATTCATCGCGCTATTGAATACCGTTAATCCACATTTGTGATATGTAATAAACCTATTATATTTATAAACAATGTATGCAATATTATTTCACCGTATCAGTTGAAAGCAACTGGCTTACTATAATATATTATACATAATACATATAATTATCCAATACAAATGGAAAATAATTTAAATATAAACACATATCTATATAAAAAATCATATAAGAAGCCTAAATATCCATACAAAAAATTCCATCTGTTTGAATTATATTTGACAATACAGAAAGTTTGTTTTTTATTAGATGAATTATACGTATTATAAAATGAGATATAATGTTAATTTTGATTATACAAATTTCTCTCAAATTTCAATTTCAATAACGTTGTTATTTCAGCGTATGTAATGTCCTTAGTTTAACTGTCGCCATTTTCACTCTTTTCAGACGAGAACTATAAGGTCGAAGCAATCCCTAAGGGATATGAGGTGTTGATGAAGCTTATAATAAGATCTGTACGAGTCCAGGATTTTGGATCCTTTCGGTGCGTGGCAACGAATTCTCTCGGAGAAACTGATGGAAAAATAAAACTTTACAGTGAGTAATGTGTTTATAAATTTATCCATTTTCGTAATACTTTATGTATTTTTTTTTATTATTTATATAATGCATTTGGCTCTCTATATATGTATAGTATGACATTTAAGCTGCAACAACGTAATTGATAATATATTAAGAATTATTAAATTTACGATTTCGTTTTTCACAATTTTTTTTGCTTCAGTTTCTCTTGTAATACGCATATCATGCGCGAAGAGAAAGACAACGAAAATATTATATTTTAATAAATTACAAAAAAAAATATTGAGTTTGTATATTTAAAATTTGTTTTATTATTTTTAATAGCATATTAAAATTACGGAGATTCGTACGCACGTACATACGAGGAAATTAGTTTAATTTATTATTGAGGAAATATAATGTAGGACAATTTTGCGTAATTAAACTTTGTAATACAAATAAAAATGTGCATATTAAAAATTCATTGCGGCGTAATGCGTAAACGCGACGATTTATACAGCGAAGAAAAAAAAATCTGCATACTTTTCCGTGTACATATAATTATTTTCGAGCAGAGCCCGAAACATCTCGTCTCGGAATTAAAGCAGGAGCGCGCGCTCGTGATTCTTAAGCGGATAACTTATCGGTTTATCGCCGATCGATATAACCTTCTCGACGTAATTGCCCCAATCTCAGTGTACCAATGCACCCCGTCTCTCGTTCCACGACGCCATCGCTAGACTCCATCATCGTTCCGTGCATACGAGAACTTTGGCAGGCCAAACAACCTTTCTCCGTTCCTGTTTACCCCAGTCCCTTCGCTCTCATCCTCTCGTGATGGAATAAAAAGAACCGGCAATTACTCGCAGGACGTGAAAGATGTTGCTCGTTAGCTAACGACATTAGTAGCCTTGTCATTTCTTCCCGTACAATAGAGAACGAAAGTGCCTTCTAGGCTTTTGGGAGAGAAAATGCTGTTGTGAATCAAGCCAGGTCGAAGCCACGTCGCGTCGCGTCACGTCATGTCATCTTCGTGCCACTACGTCACGCGCGTCCATCCTGCTTCGCCGTCATTATATTTCATTGGATCTCTCGGGGGCGCGAGAGATTCAAGTGGTAAGCACACACCAAATACGTAAAGCACGAGCCGTCCGTTCCGTTCGACCTCGCTGATGTTAATTGATCGCCTCTCCAATTAGAGTGTCGACGACGGGAGTATAGAAGCGGGTTCGTTTAAAGAGAAAGGAAGGGAATGCGATGGTTTTAGCGAAAATCGTGCCGTTCATGATGATTGGATGGGGACCAAAGGGAACGCAAGGGAGAAGCGTAACGGAGGCGCGCGCGAGGCACTTAATTACCGACAATTGCAAATAAAACGCTGCGGTGGAAACGACACGGCAAGAATGGCGGGACACGCCCGTCACGAATTTCCATTCTCACGAATCACTCTCTTTCAGTAATTAGTCCGATAGTTTAATCCAACGGGTTGTCTCGCGTTCTCCACCGAAATCACCCTGTCTCTTTTTCCGGTGACACCCTGAACAATAATTACCAAGAGGGAAACCAATCGTGAATTATATGGCATTGCCCGAAGTTAGTTAACTTTGCAATGAGAATTTTATTTGAGCTGGAAGACGAGGAGGTGAAAATGGACGAATTATCGGCGGACGTGACGCGGTTCGTGCGTGGAAAAGAGACGAAACTTGCATGGAAAGAGGAGCTCGCTTTAAAGGCGGCTATATAAGGACTGTATAAAACACTTTGTGCCCGAGTCGCGCCATCGCTTCGGTCGTTCCGAGTCTGCACAGTGACGTGCACGCATGGCATGCAAAGTTCTGTGCATGATGGCCTATATTCAAATTGCATTATATCGCCGGATGAGGGTGCGCGAGCGCGCGCGCGTATATAGATGTGACCGATAAATGCGCCGTATAGAAGCCCATGGTAGTTAGTTCACTTTTGCTACGCTGGTCGGTGCGAGCGAATGTATACCTTGAGGAAGAATTAAATCGCAATTGGTATATCCCGTAAATCTGATTTTACAACGCCCGGAATTACGGTGCAATAATTTTTAAAGATTATTAGCAATTAGTGATGTATAATTAGTATTCTCTATTATTATCGCAAATTGGTGCATTATAGTGTGTTATTGTAATAATTAATTGTAAATTGAATCAATAGTTCGCGCAGTGTTCCGTAAAGTTTTATCTTCTCTTTCCTTTAATTTATATAATTGTCTGTACATTTCGACGAATAAAATAATTACAATCTGTTTCTTTTTTTCTTCCTTCATCTTTTATCACTTTTAATTTCCCGATGGTGATGATGCAGACGAAATATTTCTAACGTACGTATATTTATAATTCTCTGAGTTATTCTGGTGATTCTTTGTGAAATAATTCAGCTAAAAAGAAAATGAATGGAAAAAAGACGAGTTGAATTATTTTATTCCCACGCGCTCGCTCATTGCTCACGCTCAGACGCTATTAAGAGTGTTACCGTAAAATGGCAGGCATCATCGGTAGTGAAGTGAACAGAATTGCGCGAGCCTTACGAATGAAATACATTACTGGCTAATTGCAGTGAGATGGAAGAGAGCTCTGAGCATCTTAAACCACAGTCGCAATATTCATTGCCGCAGTTACAGAGCAAAGCATCAAAGAAAATGATATAACGGCATGCTATAATAAATGTAAATTAGCAATTGAAGGTATTTGGAAACGATAACCATTTCAACGGTTCTCGGTAACAGTGCGGTACATAAAGCTGACCACAATCCCGATATTTGGCTGAAACGCGGTGTCCAAGCGTATTAATTAATGTATTTATTAAATTACATTGTTACAGTAACTGTCAGGATAGCCGTGAGCGCGCATTCTGTATCTCCTACTGTATACAAATATGCAAACGTATATGCTTTCCTAGATTTGTAAACAGTACTACAAGCAAACATAAATGCATTGACCTTGCAGAAGTAAACACAATTGTCGTTGGAAATTGAAATCAACGTTACAGTAAGCTTCTGCACATCGAACAAAAGTTGATTAGTATTACAATGTTTATCTCTCTTGAATTTACTCGCGAGGATAATTTTGAGATTATAAGGTGTACAAGAGAGAAATTGAATTTGAAAGATCAAACAAGAGGAAAATATAAAAATTTTGTGTACTTACATTACAATGATAATTATAAAAATTATTATTATTGATCTATTATTGAACGATATAATTGTTAAAATAATTAACAATATATATATATATATATATATATATATATACCTTTCGTTTTCACTGTACTTTAGTTTCAGTCAGTTTACGCTAAAATGTGTGTTTAATATATCAAAGTTGAAGGAGAACTGCATTTTTGCGACGTATTGTTCTTGTCGCAATCTGTCGAGCGGATATTGACATTCACTTTTGTGTCCGGTAATCTCAGTTGTTTCCGGTTGTCACCTGAGAATGTTGCGCGTGCTGTCATCCCGCGGGTATTAATTAGAAAAAGTATAGTTTTGTCTCTCGTAACGGCAATGCCGATGCACGCGCGAGGGAATTAATATCGCTTTCGAACTCTCGACATTTCGACGGAGCGTGCAAGTGACAAGAGCTCTCCGGGTTTTGCGGGAACGCGCGCCGTTCGGACGACATTCCAATACGTCAAACCCGGAGAGCATCGCGCGGAAAGTCCGACCGCTTGGCCGATTATTTTTCCAGTTATTACTCGCGGACAGGACTTTACTGATATCTCGATTCGCCATTTACGCCCGTTCGTTTTTCAAACACGATTCGATTGTAAAAGCGACTTTCTACCGCGTTGTTGTTTAACGGATGCTCAATCCCCTCTACGATGATCAACCCCGAATTTTCAAGCGCTCACTTTTGTTTATTAATAACAAATTTCAGCGATTAATTATAACGCACGCTTTATTTATATTATCACGGAGTTTTCGACGTCACAAAAATCACTGTTATTTATTTGTTGTTGTTCCGTATTTCTATATACTTAATATAAGGATCTATTTACAGATGCACATCAGTTACGAATATTTTATATTGGAACTGGTTAATAAACCCGATACTATTGAACAACGATAAACGTTGAAATTAAAGAGCACGAGTCTTTAGCTTCTATAATTAACTTTGAAATTGTGCTCTCTCTCTCTTTCTCTTTCTCTACATATTTCGTCGTAATTGTGCACATATTTGAATGTATATGTTTAATTATACTGTATACTGTAATTAAGATCAAATGAGCTGTTTTAATTTACTCTTTTAAAATTGATACATTATTATTGTAATTATTTAGACATTAATGTAATTTTTGACGACATGACAATTAATTGAGAAAAATTCTTTTAAAGCGAAATAAATTTAAACTGCATAATGTGACACTAATATCTTCAGTTAATTCTAAATAAAATATTGATAATTGATTGTAAATTTATACAAATATAATTACGGATTTCTTCTTGTTAAACGCTAGCATATTACAAGAAAGAGCGATGTGTATAAAACTTTGTTTATGGAAACGACTTTCTTATAGAGTTTATAAATCAGAGGAATTTTTCTAGAAAATCTGTCTGGAAAAAGGAAGCACGAAATGTGTTCTCTCCTGAAACCCAAAAAACTTCTTTCAAGTAATTTAATTCACAAAAAGATCTATATAGAAACATACTACAAAGTATTTGATTTCTTATGAAAAAAACACATCTAATTTTTCTTGGTTTCTCTATAAAAAAAAAAACACATCTGATTTTTCTTGGTTTCTCTAACTTTGATTACTAAATTTATTGTATCGGCGCATATTTTCAGGAATCGATAAGCCAACTACCCGCAGACCGGGCTCGAGGCGGGAGTCGAAGAAAACATGGAAGATCGATCATAGCCATGAAAAGAAGGCCGCCGGTATGAAGGACGACCCGATGCTGAAAGGCGATGATATTGGCGACGAGCAGATCGATTTTCAGTCGGCGACGGCCTCATCGGCATTTCATCGCCACTTGCTTACAAATTTTGGAATTACTGCCATAACCGCGATATTGGCCGGCGGTTTATCCACGTAGGCCACCGTGTTGTTTCGAAGAAAACTATACGTAAAGAAGATTAAAGTAATATAGAAAGACTCTCTGGATGCGGGATTAAACATCGCGCGTGGCAAGCATCGCAACGAAGTAATGTCGATAAGAATAATGCTGCGAAAAGGGTCGCTGTTCCCGATAAAAAGTCTCTTCCTGTTGTACATGAAATTTGCATAAAATGGACGTAGAGTGAAGACCTGTTTTTATATAGAAGCATGAAGGGTCTGAAGTATCTGATTGATCAGAGTGACCGGGGTACTTCGTGAGGGAGCGTAATTAACACATTGCAAGCCGAACGTGTACTAATAGACTTTCCTCTCTATCTAAAGACGTAGAAAGCCACCAATCTATTAACCCCTTTACGCTGAAGGCGTCAGAGTAGCTGGCTTTTACCGTTCCCATTCCGAGCGGTAACCTTGTTGACCTCGCCATCACTTGAAGAAGAAAGTCTGTAAATTAAGTAAAAAGGGGCACACATTATTTGCAATCGCACTTTCTGATAAATTGTTAAAATAAATATTTTTTTGTTTGTTTTTGTGTGTGTGTGTGTGTGTGTGTGTGTGTGTGTGTGTGTGTGTGTGTGTGTGTGTGTGTAAATGAGAGAGTACAGTAGCATGATGAAATTAAATTTTAACTTACCTTTTCAAAAATACGCTTTATGCAGGCGTACTTTTTATTTTCATACAAAATATAAAATGTCTGCTCGTCAATTCGTTCAATCTTTAAGTTATAGTAATAATATAGTATTATTATATCTCTTTCTCTCTTTTCATACATACTCACATATCGTAACGTAAAAGTATTGATGTGTGAACGTGATATAAGAATATAACAATATCTTTCATTACTTCTGCATCTCAAAATATTAACAGAGCGTACATAGCTTGCAATTTGCTAATAATGTTTAAATATATGAAGGTGCTTAATAAGAATACGTATTGTGTATTATGTGGAAATAATTTAATAATTTTTGTACAAAAAGTTGTTTGCTGTTTTTCAGAACCTGCAATTTATTTAACATTACGTTTAAAAGTTTATTTTTTTATTATAATGTTAAAAATGTAAATGTATTTTTTTTGTGTATGTGTGTGATTGTCTAATTTTGAATTATATATTAAACTTTTAAATATTTATTATACTCTCTTGTTGTGAGAAATGTACATGTTAGAAAGTTGAACTTAATTATGTCTTTTAAAGTACGTATCATTAAAGAATAATAAATATTCATGTATATATGCAGCAAGGATAATAATAAATTTGGAATAAGATGTAATGGAATTTAATTATTAGGAAATTAATAATGTATAAATGAATATATACTTTAAATGATCCTCCACAATAATATCATTGTTTATTATATTAAATTATTTTATAAAACAATATATTTGAAATATTTTTACGGCAGATTTTACTAAGTTCCATCTTGTTTCTTGGACGCATAAATTACGCCGTAAAAAAAAGGAATGTGCCTCACTGAAAATATTTCCATCGAGAAGAGATTTCGTTTAAGTACATCGTTTAAATAGCTTTTAAACAGAAAAAGTTGCAAAACGGACTTATGATATTACGTTATGTTATAAGTGGCCATTTCTCAATGATCTATTATATATATGTATAATATTGTTAAAAAAGACTACTTTACTTTTTATTTTTTATAAACAAATGATATGTGTTTTTTAAATTGTGCATTTAAAAATAGGGTAATAATTAATAATATTTTATAAAATCTGCTTATTGCATCGTTAAAGATTCTTTAGATATATTATTGTGATATCGAAGACATATGAGAATTTTATTTTGCCATTTTTATAATTATATCGTTATGATACATCTAATTTAAATAATGTATGAGATTTTGTGATAACAACAAAAATAGATTTATCGCATCTTAAAGCGTTATAATATGAGTACAGAATTATAACATATAATTCTATTTATATATAGTTACATTTTATATTTACCTAGTTGCTCGAATATGTTCCCAATTTTGTATTTTCTGTATGTTTACGTAAAATTGCTAACTTAATATAATTATTGCGCTTATGTTACAGGATGACAATAATTTTCTGAAAATTTCCGTCATTAGCGGAATAATCAATAAATAATTTTTAATTCAAATACCTCGAAACCATGAATATGGTCTAATGATAGGCTTATTGCGTGCATTGTACATATTAATGATATACACACATCTGTAGAAAATGTCAGTAATGAGGAGAAAGAAAAAAAGAAAAAGAGAATTTTGCTCGAGGTTTTTATCTCTACATAATTTTATTTCAATAGATAAATTTAATGTTTTAGATGTATAAATAATAGTCATACATACATCAACGAACAGAGATAATATCTTAAAGTAATATTTTCTAAGTTGTAGATACGTTTTTGAAAAAAATTACGATGTTCTTATAAACAAAACATAGCACTGCCAAAATTCGTTAATAAAAAAATTTTATTCATTTTAGAAATTTTATGTAATGTTATTTCAAATAATTAATACATAATTTTTAAATTGTCTAATTTATATATAAAATAAATATATCTATATTTAAAATGTATATGAAAAAAGATTGAATTTGTGAACCTATTAAGAATTTTCAATGTGAATATATGTATTTGGACTTTTTATGTGAAATATTTTCATTAATTTTGAGATGTACATTAAACATAGGTAAAATGAATCTGTAGATTGCTACGAATACTAATACACACATCGCTTACAAAAATATTGAATATACAATATTTTCAATCGTTAAAGCAATTTACCAGTGATTTATCTGTCGAGTTTTCATTTCATTTTCTTAACGAATTTGTTATCGATGAATCATATATGCACTGCCAATCGATTACAAATTGCTAGTCTGATTCAAATTTTCGAATTGGATTCATCAATTTCGCAATACTGCTTGCGTACGTTTGTGATGACCCTATGTGCTATGTACATATACATACGTAGACGTATAATAACCGGTAAATTATTGTACGGCGCCGCATTTCTTCAATGTATAGAGCTACTGGTATTGTATAATAGTGTGTGTACGATATTGTAGAATAAGCCTCAGGGACGTGTATATATGCTAAGCTGTAAGTTATATTAGTTTTTGCATTTGTGTGGTCACAATAACTCTTCCCTCCCATGTAAATATAATGTACCTTATCGTGTACTTGGGCAATAAATGTTAGACAATCGTGATAATTGTATAGATTGTTGTGTTTTGTGAATTTTATTTCTATTTTTTTTTTTCATTGAGTATTCAGATTTATGATGACGCAAATTTTATTAAATCGGTTTTATTAGGCTGAGTTAACAGATTGTATTAAAATAAAAATATATTATACTTTTTAGGGGATCCTATTCTTCTATATACTCTTACCGTTCTCTTTACGTTTTTATTTATAACAATCTTGCGATATTTGTTATGAAATAATATTTTTTTTGTTATTCTTTTAAATTAAAACGTTAAAATTCGTTATTACTTATGTAATTAAAATTTATGTTTACACAAATTGTTTGTCATAATTTATTATGAATTGTATAAATGCAATTGCAAGAAGTGTTATTACATAAATAAAGATAGAGAAAAGATATCGTAAATGTGAATAGATCTGTGGAATATTTATAAAATTATGTAGATTATAGTAAAAAGAAATTCTTAATTTATATTATATTAAAATTATATCAAAGTTATATAAATTTAAAATAAAAGACAATAATTAGCGCAACTATCTTACTGCCTACAAATAATATAAACAATGTTTAATCTCTACTATGTCAGTAACCGATATCTTACCGAATATCAGCAAGTGATAACTCAGATAAAGTAAATCTCTTCTGGTTGCCATATCGTTTATACGTACTACTGGATGTACCAACGAGAATTACATTGTAACTTACACATTTCTCTCATAGAGAGCAGATACGGCTACAATTAATTCTTCCAATCATTCGATCTCCAAATTATATCTATATTCTTCTTAGCAAGTTTTATATAGATAAAAGATCGATAAGTTTTAGTTTAGATACTATAGCTATATATAGGAAAAATATCCTTTAATAGCTTTTTGTTTTAAAGTCTTTGATGTAAAATTAAAAATGTTAAATAAATAATCGAACTGCTTTTTTTCTATTCTTTTAACAATTTATAATTATATAAGGATTTATAATTTATGAATGTTTTTTATGATTATTTTATAACATAAATCTGATGCTTTTTTATATTTTATTATCATAAAATTTAATATAAAAATAATTTGTTTTCGAATTTTTATTGATTTTTAAAATATCATTGTCTTTAGCAAATTATTTAAGTGCCAGTTATGAAAATACAACTTTTTAAAATATGCAGTACGTTTGATACTTAACATTGTTAAAAGTTGACATATTATCGATAAGATTAAAGAGTCTACCCCATCATTTTATATAAAATATAAGTACTGACGAGTTATAATGGGGTAGAGAGAAACTTATACTGGCACTTCTCTCTTTCTCAGCCCATATATATATATTCATTCTGCTTTGTTACGTTCTTGTACAGTTCATTCCGAAGCTACGTAAAATTCGGGAGATCGACTGTAACGAAGACCCGACGGTATAATAATGATATTCGGGAAAGAATTATTATGGAACTTGGCAGCGCACTTTGGAGTAACGAGGGGAAAAAAGGGCTTTTCTCCATAAGCTAGCTCGTACATCATCGGCACGAATCCCTTTGGACGGTTATAGAACGAAAGAGGCGGCGATAACAAAGGCGTCTACGTTGAGCGATACTAGATGCTTCGTAAACAAACGAGTCTTCTAATATTAGATCGTATAATAAGATATATCTAAATATCTGTAATACATCACTGGCTATTTTAAATAATAAACTTATATTTTAATGATCTGTGAATGTCAAATGTTAAACGTGAAATATGTATATTTATAGTTACTTTTCACACATAGTTAATTTGATATAAGTTATATATTAAAATATATTTTATTGCGTTCTGTACTTCTCTTTTTATTTGTTTTACTAGTAATTTTTTATTAATAAAATAGTATGCATTATATAAATCAGAAGAAAGAGATGTTATATTTTTTAAAACTCATACATTTCTTTTACCAGTTTCATTGAAATATTCTCGATATTTTTGTATATTTGTATATTTCGTATATTTGTCTATAAAATCAATATTGCGCATACATATCGTCAGTGATTATGATAAATTGATATCGGTATAAATTATAACTGAGTAAGCCAAACATAGATTTGCAAATGGATATGCAAAAATCTAGTTTCGGTGTGTACATTTGCAAGCTTTTTCAATCTTTAATTATTTCAGTAAATTTAATTAAATTATTTCTTCGTGTATTATTTTTTATGCACCTTATTTAAACAGCTCTGTATTTCCATAATAATACTGCGAAATAATCTTTGGACCAATTGCCATGTGGAAAGTCATCAAATATAATTTTCCGTTCTCTGTCGAGTTGTGTGTTATTGTAAACGGTAACGTTTTATGCGGATTCGGATTGTCAGTAGTACGAATATA